AAAAAAAAAAGGGGAAGGAGGAACAAAGGGGGAAAGGAGAAAAAAACAAAGGGGGAAAGGAAAAGGTTCCTCGTGTTGTTAAACCCTTCTGAGGCAGGGAAAGGATGAGACCCAGCTGTTGGCCAAGCAATGGCAACGCTGGCCAGCTGGGAAAATTCAAACTCAGGGGGATCCTGGTGTCCCCAGGGCTGCCTGGCCCTGGTGTCCCCAGTGTCCCCAGGGCTGCCTGGCCCCTGCAGCACCCCAGGAACAATTCCCCCTTGCTGTTCCCAGGGAAAAGCAAATGTTTGCAGGAGTTCTGCTTCCTGAGCCACACCTGGGCCGGGCAGGGCTGACTCAGAGCTGCTGGCAGGGTGACCTGGTGGCCTCAGCAGGGACAGCCAGGCCTCATCCTGATGGGATTCCTGCAGAAACGTCAGCCCAAGGATCCCCCAGAGCCACCGAGGTGAACAGTCCTCCCCCTGCAGGGAGCAAACCCAGCTGCTGGCACCCAGGTGCCACCTGCCCTGGCAGGACACAGCCAGGGGCACCTGGCAGAGCCCAGGTGAGCCCAGCACGCAGGTGGGAAGGGGCAGCTCCCCCCAGAGCACATCCCAGGTGCCCTCCAGCACCTGCAGGGTGGGGCTTGGCAGCTGGACTCGAGCTTTAATGAGGGAAACAATTTAATGAGCCTGGGTGAGGCCCCACCTGCCCCAGCACCTGGGCAGGGGCAGCCCCACATTGCCAAGCCCCTGCACAGCTCCCAAATCCCAGGTTTTCCTCCAGGAAAAGCTGCCAGGAGCCCCACAGGTCACATGCAGGTTCCATGGAGAGCTGCAGCTCTCTCTTCCCTCTCCCCACAAGATTTAAAGCACCCCTGGGGAAGCACAAAGCCAGCAGCCCCCAGCACAGCTCTCCTGCCCATCCCAGTGCTCCCAGTGCCCCCAGTGCCACCCAGAGCCCCCAGGAAACCAGGGGGGTTTGAGTGCAGGGAGCCAGAGCAGCGTGGGCAGCTCGGCCACCTCGTGACCGTCCCGGTGCCAGGAGGAGCCTGAGCCCTTCCCTGCCCTCAGGGAATCCTCCAAGGGATTTTAACTCCAGTGGGCAACCAAACCAAGCGTGGAGGGGCTGCAGAGAACACGGAGGAGGAGGAGGAGGAGGATGCTGCACTCACCCCTGCGGCGAAGCCCAGGCTCCCATCGAGGATCCGCCTCTGGAACAAACCAAGCACAAAGCAGCCTGAGCCCCTGGTGACAGCACTGCCACGGTGCTGGGGAGCTGGGAAAGGGGTCCCCAGGCTGCACAGGGACCTGCACAACAGGCAATGGCTTCCCACTGCCAGGAGACAGGGTTAGGTGGGATTTTGGGAAGGAGTTGTTCCCTGGGATGGGATTCCCAGAGCAGCTGTGGCTGCCCCTGGTCCCTGGCAGTGCCCAAGGCCAGGCTGGACAGGGCTGGGACACCCTGGGACAGTAGAAGGTGTCCCTGCCACCCCAGGGCAGGTTTTGCCCCCTCCCCAAGGAAGAAAAGCAAAGTGCTCCTCCAAAGGGAGCCTCACTTGGCAGCCAACTCCTGAATAAATCATCACAAGACCGAGGCATAAATAATAAATCCATCTGGGCAATTTGGAACACCCTGGCGAGGGGGGCTCTAAATTTGGATCCAGGATGACTTAAACTCCTCAGTTTGCTCGTTCTGACCCAAATCCTGCCCTGGAAACGTGGCAGCAAAACCAGGTTAGAGGCAGGGGAGCTGCTGCTCCCAGCCCAGAGCCCCAGGAGCTGCAGAGCCCCAGGAGCACATCCTGGGCTCAGCAATTCACTTTCCTTCCCCTCCTGGGTGTTGGGAGAGGAGCTGGATTTTTCTTCTTCTTGTCCCCCAGAGCTGGGAGCAGACAGGAGAACCCAGCCATGAGCAGGGCACAGCCCAGATCCTCTGGGATGCCAGGGCTGAGGAGGGATGCCAGGGCTCCCCTGCCCCTGGATCAGGATCTGTGGGGTGCCAGGGGTTGTCCCAGGGCTCACCTGCCCCTGGATCAGGATCTGTGCGATCCCCAGGGCTCACCTGCCCTTGGATTGGGACCCTGTGGGATCCCCAGGGCTCCCCTGCCCCTGGTTCAGGATCTGTGGGGTGCCAGGGCTCCCCTGTCCTTGGATCAGGATCTGTGGGGTGCCAGGGCTCCCCTGTCCTTGGATCAGGATCTGTGGGGTGCCAGGGCTCCCCTGTCCTTGGATCAGGATCTGTGGGGTGCCAGGGCTCCCTGTCCTTGGATCAGGATTTGTGGGACCCCAGGGGCTGTCCCAGGGCTCCCCTGCCCCTGGATCAGGATCTGTGGGGTCCCCAAGGTTCCCCTGCCCTGGGATTAGGATCCAGGGGGTGCCAGGGCAGGATCCGGGGGGGTGCCAGGGCAGGATCCGGGGGGTGCCAGGGCAGGATCCGGGGGGTGCCAGGCTCACCTGCCCGCTGGAGAAGACGAACACCAGCGCCGAGCCCGCCGCCGTCAGCCCCCAGGTGAGCAGCGTCCCCAGCAGCGCCTGCGGCACCGGCCCCGCTCCCGGGATCATGCTGGCCTAGGAGACAGCAGCAACCTCGGGGAGCAGCCAGGGAGCCCCCAAATCCCAGCCAGACCCCTCTGCACAGCAGGGCTCCAGCCAGCTCAGCCATCTTCCCCTGACTCCTGTCTGTCCCTTAGGAGACTTTGTCACTAAAGCTCAGCGGGTCCCAGCACATCCCGCTGGAGCAGAACCCCAACAGGATTTGGGGTCAGACCTCACCCAGGCCCCTTTTTTGTGCCCTCAGTCTGACTTTTCTGGTGTGGAAGGTGAAAACGCTCAGAGCAGCTGCTCCCCGCACCTCGGGAAAGGGGAAAAGGGCAACAAAGCCCCGGGGATGGGCAACAAAGCCCAGGAGGAGATGGCCCAGGGAGCAGCTGTGCCACGGAAATACAGCCGGGCTGGAAATGCATCACACACGCCTGCATGGATGCATTTATAGGGAAAAACATGGAGTGTACAGGCACTGATAGATTTATGTGTGACTGTGTAAGAAATACACACACCCCACCTCCAAAGGCTCCCCCAGCCTTGCCCCGGGGCTTTTCCCAGCCCCTGCAGCTGCGTGCCCGGCTCAGACCCCCCCAGCCCCCCAGGAAAATTCCCCTTCCTACAGGGGGTCCTGCAGCCCACCCAGGAGCACCC